CATCAAAAAGAGTTCATTACAATACTTACGTAGTCTGTTTTTGTACAGGAGTAATCTTGAGCACCTCATCGGTGAGCTTGGAGCAGAGAGTGTCGATGATTTCGTACTCCTGGAAAAAACCACCTGACGCATTGGTAAAAATACTCAACTATGATCAGATGTTTTTTTCATAGATAATGTGACAACAGTTTTCCGTTTAGAATATAATGTTTTTTTGACATGGATTTCTTGAACTATCATTGGGAAGAAGTTCAGACACCGGAAAAATAATTAACGTTTAATGGTTTTCTGAAAAAAATAACTCTTCGCACTTCCAACCGAAAAAGTTTACAACAAAAAAGATCAGGATTGTTTTGTATCTTGTATGATATTTTGGTGATATACATGTCACGAGATAGTGACACATACGACCTTGAAAATATCATGTGCTTTCGGCGGTTTTCGGCCCAAATAACGCATGAACATTATCTGGTTCCTATCCGCCCACAAAACCCGAATTTAAGCAATTGAGAAACAAACCTTGATGGGGAGGGAGTTCAGGTAGATCTCTTCGAGTGTAGTAATTTTTCCATCCTTTACAAGACGACCAAGCTTGGTAACTGGAACCCATTCGGATTCCTTCTCGCCTCCACGTCCACCACTAAAAACAAATGATTTCAATAGATTGAAGAACCAGCGACAAGATTCCGGATGAATTTTAAAAACTGAAAACTATTCTGTCGCGCACAATGGTGATATACATGCCTCAAAGAAAGACACATACGACCTTTAATGTGTACATTTTATTTTGGCGGTTTTCGGCCCAATCCATGCATAGACACCGACTGGTTCCTATCCGCCAAATACTCATTGGTGTTATGAAACTGGATACACCTTCACTATGCTACTTATATTGAAATGTAATCTATGAAAATGAAGAACTCATTTGACACACAGAAACGAAATTTTAAAGGTAGTCTTTACTGATGCTCATGAGAGCCTTCTAAGAAGCAAAATTTTTATAAAAAAGAAGAGCAAAAAGAAAACTGACCGTCCTCCTCGGCCACCACGACCGCCACGGCCTCCACGTCCACCTCGACCACCACGGTCACCGCCTGCTCCTCCACGACCCCCACGTCCGCCTCCAGCACCGAA